TGTATGGTTTAACTATGGACTGGTTGATTTCAGCATTTAAATATTCTCTTTTGATTAATAAATAACCCTTTTTATAGCCATTCTTTCTTACATAAAGAATCGTAATGAAAATAGCTCCTTTCAGGAGTTCGTGGAACTTTACCATGAAGTGATTATAGAATCTCCACCACACACTGACAATTGGTGTGGTTTGGAAACAGCATGGGAAACGAGATTCCTAAGGGTCGTAAAAGAAGTGATTCCAGAAAGCTATAATGAAATTTATGAGAAGGTTCTGTATTTTTTTTTTCTCTAAAAACGCTACATATGCAAAGGGAGCTCTTGTGCAGTGGTCGGTTGTTCAAGGGTTTGCAGTGGTCGGTTGCCCCGAGTGATGGTGGTTGCGCTCCTTGGTCAGTGGTCGGTTGATTTTGGAGTATGTAGTGGTCGGTTACGCGCCATCATTGCGTTTGCATAGATTTGCTATTTACTATTATTGATGTTCACGTAATATTTTTGGTACTAATCAATTAATTTTATTTTATTTTATTTTTTTTGTGATAGATTAAATTAGGAATTTCAAATAAGTCCTTAAAATACCTAAGTTAGCACCCTAATGTTTGGCTTCATGTTTGAATAAATACATACTAAATTAACAAGCCATGCGCTGGGAGCTCGTTTTTAATTACATTACCGTTACCTTTAGTTTATGATTATATTAAGCACTGACTTATAAAAATCTATATATACCATTTTTTAAAAGTTATGTTATCTTGAAACAATTTAAATCCATTTTTAGTTTTGAGATTTGAACTTAGATAAGGTAATAATTTTTTTCTGTCAACAATCACTCTTTGGTTCTAATTTTTAATAGTTATTTTATTATATATATATATTTTTTTTTATTAAGTGAGAAAATGGCTATTATCTTCCGTTTCTTTCTTTGAAGATGTTTCAAGATTCCGTTAAAATTACTGCTGTTTTTTTTTTTTACGCTTCTTATGGAAGTTTGCGAGTCCTTCTTGTCTACCTGTTTCCGCCTCGGTTCTTGATCCCGTTATTTTTTCTTTATCCAAACTTTCGACCTTGTCACCACTAAGTTACCTCCATCGTTACCTCCATCGTTACCTTCATCGTTGCCTTCATCGTTACCTATATCCTGCACAACTTGCATGATCTACAATCAACATTCGCCAGACAATAAATATGAAACTTTATAGAAACAGGTATAATTCATTCATTATACAAATCATTTTAAAAATAAACTGTATATGTTTAAAGCATTTGGAAAAGTCTGCACAACAAAATCGTTATACACGCTATACAAATCACAAATTATATGCTTTGCACATGAACTTGCTACTACGTATATTATTTACGTATTTAAAAGTTCTTTTTCTTATAATGTTTATTATTTTTTGTATTGTCCTGAATTTGATTATTTAACGTAACGACTATCGCTATTGATCCATCTTACCCTATCACGGTTCTTCTAGCCGAGTGGCACCACATTAACAAAAATCAATTCAACGGACACATGCATTATTTGTATGTAATATTTTAGATATTAATTGATTTTACTTTAATATTAATTTAGAAGTTAATTACCAAAAATAAGACATCTGATTATGTAACTTTGATCTTTCGAATTCTCTCGAAAATTCATGAATGATAACAATAACAAGTAGTACGTAATATGCAATCTTTAAAATGATCTATCTCAGTTTGGGATTATAAAGAATTACTATATCAGAACATCCTAACAAGCCTGTTTAACCTGTTTGTAAAGATTTAAAATGTGGTACAACCAAATGAGTGTATCTATTTTGCTCAAAGTTCAACATTATATCGATATGCATCAAAAAGTAATTCTAGCCCTCTCTGTTTGTGCAAATGAAAATTGAGAATTTAAGGTTCATTTCAATCAGTGTAACAATTCTTAACAGAAGAATGTTCTCTATGTTGAACACGTACGTACGTACATCGAAAATTAAAGGTTCGCGTGATGCTTTGCAGTCAGTGTAACAATTCTTAATAGAAGAAAGAAAGTTCTTATTAAAGGTTCGAATAACAAAAAAATTCCATATGTTGTTCACGTACATCGATGTTTTGCAGTCAGTACTGCAGTATACGTAACAATTCTTAATAAAAGAAAATTCCATATGCTGCACACGTACATCGAAATGAAGGTTCGCATGATGTTTTGCAGTCAGTGTAACAATTCTTAATAAAGAAAATTCCATAATGCTGCACACGTACATCGAAATTGAAAGTTCGCATGATGTTTTGCAGTCAGTATACATAACAATTCTTGATTGAAGAAAGTTCTCGAAGTTGCACACGTACATATGGGATATATATATATATATATTTCGTTCCAGACTTTTACTTGTTATTTATTTTTCAATCTTTACAATCTCAACCTTACAATCTAAACCTTACATCTCAACCTTACAACCATTGATAATATTCATTCCGTAAATTGGGTTATATCCTTCCAACGCGTCAAGCTACATAGATGAATTTAATTGCTGACAAGAATAATTCCAACGGAATTTATAAAGTTGGGTTGGAAAAGATAAACAAAAAGTGTGGGTTGGGTTGAAAGCGATAAAAAAAAAGCATTTACATGAGTTGAAAAAGATAATTAAAAGGCGTTTACGTGGATTGAAATCGATAAACACAAAGCATTTCGTGCGTTGATGTCGATAAGAGTAAAGCATTCGTGGGTTGAAGTCGATAAAAGTAAAGCATTCGTGGGTTGAAGTCGATAAAAGTAAAGCATTCGTGGGTTGAAGTCGATAGATGTAAAGCATTCGTGGGTTGAAGTCAACAAGTATAAAGCATTTGAGTATTTACGTGGTCGAAGTCGATAAATAAAATCCATTTACGTGGGTCGAAGTCGATAAGAGTAAAGCATTCGAGCATTTACGTGGTCGAAGTCGACAAGAATAAAGCATTCGAGCATTTACGTGGTCGAAGTCGATAAGTAAAAAAACACCGGAGTCGATACCGGCTATTAAGATATTAATCCTAGAGACACTAAGATGCAAAAATACAATTATAAAAAATATGACTGAACCAAACGCAAAAGGCGTTTGAAAATTATTTGAAAGCAGCTTAACTTGCATTTACTAGATAAACGCAAAAAAGCATTCGAAAATTATTTGAAAGCAGCTTAACTTGCATTTATTTAATAAACGCAAAAAAGCATTTGAAAATTATTTAAAAGCAGCTTAACTTGCATTTATTTAATAAACGCAAAAAAGCATTTGAAAATTATTTAAAAGCAACTTAACTTGCATTTATTTAATAAACGCAAAAAAGCATTTGAAAATTATTTGAAAGCAGCTGTTAACATGCATTTACATATTCCTATAACTCATTTTATTATTCATTAAGCGTTTAAAATAAGTTGTTACTCATTTTGAGCTTATGTTTATACTTATGCTTATTGCTTATGATAGGCAGGCTTAATGACTTCGTTTACATTTTACATATATTTATCAAAAAAGTTTTCAAGACATTTCATCTCCAAAGCGTTTGAAAATTATTTAAAATCAGCTGTTTAACATGCATTTACATACGTATTAAGTTTTCACCTATAACTCATTTTATTATTAATTAAAATAAGTTGTTCAGGTTCATACGTAGTATAATTAATTATAATTAGATACATTATTTAACGTTAAAGAAGCATATGCATTGTATTTTTTTAAAATATATATATCAATTATTGTATTTTTTTTTAAAAAAAAAAATCAAATAAAAAATGAATTTGCCCTAATAGTTATCGTATTTAGTTTGGTCTAATCCACGAATTAAAATATATAATAAACAGTATTTTACGTACGTATGAGAACAATTATCGTTATGAGAATTAAAATCGTTAAGCAGTGGCCAATGGTATATCGATATGGATTTTTAATCATTTGATTTGATTAATTTGATTATCTGAGAATTTCGCATCTAAAAAAAACGATGTCTTTAGGTACTTAAAATTTATTTATATGATTTATATGATATAAAGTTTCAATACTTCATTTACATAGCTTAATCAATTTAGAAAAACTTATCATTCTTATCGTTGGCTCTGGCGGTCGTGAACATGCCATCGCCTGGAAACTGTCCCAGTCTCCCAAAGTTGAACATATATTTGTAGCCCCAGGTAATTTGTCTGTTCAGGTTAGTGTTCAGAACATGCTGCCTCGAATGCCCACTATTTCAGTCATAGTAATTCGTTATATGGGTCATTGACTTTTAACAAAGTTATCATTACTATTACTGGGTCATTTTGGTCGGCCTGCTCAGAGCATTAATTCAGTTTCATAATTCATTCAGTTTAATAATAATTCAGTTTAATATTTTCATGAATGCACCTCATTTAGGTAATGGAGGTACTGAAAAAGGGATTGATAAAGTGTCCAACGTTAATATTGGTGTCAGTGACTTTGCCAATTTGACACAGTTTTCACTATCAAATAATGTAAGTTGATATTAAACTATTGTTTTAATGTTTTGATGATTTTGGTAAAAGTTAATTAATGTGTTTTTATATAGGTTAATTTGGTCGTACCCGGTCCTGAACAACCTCTAGTAGAAGGCATTGAATTAGCTTTTAGGAAGAGTATGTTAGTATGATTTTTTTTAATGAATTTTAATAGCCCTATTTAAATTATTATATTATATAGTTGGAATTCGTTGTTTTGGTCCTTCTCCAAAAGCTGCTATCATGGAAGGTTCCAAAACGTTTTCCAAAAATTTCATGAAAAAGCATAATATTCCAACTGCCAATTATGAGGTTATTTTTCATTTTATTATATTTCATATTATATATTTAAACAATTTTTTTTTAAATTAATTTCTAAAAATATATATCTTTTAGAATTTTTCTGATTACGAAAAGGCAAAAGATTTTCTAGAATCAGTTACTTATAATGTAGTAATAAAGGTATGAATATGCTTAGGATGCTTGCTCATAGAATTTTAATTAACTTTCCATGTTCACCATTAGTTTATTTATGGTTGTCAAGGCTTCAGGTCTAGCTGGAGGTAAAGGCGTCCTAATTCCTACTAATAAACAAGAAGCTTTAGATGCTTTGAAAACAATAATGGTTGATAAAGTATTTGGATCTGCTGGTAAGATTTAATTTTTATAATGGAAGATTTAATTTTTATAATGTGAAATTTATCATTATTAACGTCAATATATAATCATTAGGCAACGAAGTTGTTATTGAAGAATTTCTCGAAGGTCAAGAATTGAGTGTCTTGACTTTTTCTGATGGTTACACTTTTGTATCTCTTCCTCCCGCTCAAGATCACAAACGCATTTTTGATGGTGATCAGGTGACAAATCGCTTACATCTCTTTATTTTATTTTATTTTATTTTATTTATATTTCGTGTGTGTTTTAGGGTCCTAATACTGGAGGAATGGGTTGTTATTGTCCGACTCCCATTGCAACGCCGGAACTTAACGCAAAGATAAAAAATACCATTATTAAACCTACTATCGATGGCATGAGACGTGATGGTAAACATCCTATTTCTTATTTATAATGAAATAATACTACCAAAACTAAGTTTGATCACTATCTTTCAGGCTTCCCATTTGTTGGGATGCTTTTTACTGGACTAATGATAACTGCTTCTGGTCCAAAGGTGTTAGAGTATAACGTACGTTTTGGTGACCCGGAAACTCAAGTTGCTTTACCACTTTTAAGTGATGATTCTGATTTGGCCGAAATAATGCTGGTAATATATTAAAAAATCCATTGATTAACTATAAAATTTTAAGTTTATGATTTCATATATATATATTTATTTATTTAACATTGTAATGTAGGCATGTGCCGAAGGGCGTTTAGATTCGGTTCGGATTAACTCAAAACCTAGCTTTGCAACGGCTGTTGTCATCGCCTCTGGTGGTTATCCTGGAAGCTATCAGAAAGGAAAAAAAATTTTTATTGAAAATATTCCTTCTGGTAAATCTTTATAATTACTAATCATGTAATATATATCATAATTAATATATTAATAAATTTGTAATAACTATAATGCTTATTATTGTGTAGAAACGTTAGTTTTTCATGCGGGAACTAGCATAAATAACGGACAACTTGTTACATCCGGTGGTCGCGTGCTTGCAGTAACAGGAGAAGGACGTACATTAAGAGATGCTGTAGATAAAGCCTATGAATGTGTCAAAGCAATTCAATTTGAAAACATGGTTTATCGAAAAGATATTGCTCATCGGTAAGATTATATAGGATTTTGTTAATGTTATGTCATTTCCTCTTTCTAATCCTCTTTCTAATGCATCATTTAATATATGTTCAGTGCTTTCTCATATTTGTCTCAAAAGCCTGCTGAAAATAATATAATGACATATGCATCTGCTGGTGTTTCCATTGATTCTGGAAATCTTCTTGTCCAAAAAATTAAATCATTGGTTAAGAGTACTTTACGTGACGGTTCTAATTGTGAAATAGGTGGATTTGGTGGTATTTTTGATTTGAAAGCTGCTGGATTCATTGATCCTATTTTGGTATCAACTACCGATGGTGTCGGGACTAAATTGAAGATTGCGCAGGCTGTCAACATTCATAACACTATTGGTTCGTGCTTGTTTTAATAATTCGATTTTTTTCGACTTTTTTGTTTTAAAAAAAAAAACTCATTTTAAACTAAACAATTGACTATACTACTATACTATAATTAATTAGGTATCGATCTTGTCGCAATGAATGTCAATGATTTAATTGTACAGGGTGCCGAACCCCTATTTTTTCTTGATTATTATGCATGCAGTAAATTAAATATTGATGTTGCGAAGGATGTAATAGAAGGAATTGCAACTGGATGTTTAGAATCAAAATGCGCGTTGATCGGTGGAGAAACATCAGAGATGCCCGGAGTTTACCATGGCGGTTAGAAATATTTCGATAATATATTACATATATTGTTCATTTATTTCAATTGTCTTTCTAATTTGTTGTTAATGTATAGGCGAGTATGATTTGGCAGGATTTGCAGTTGGGGCGGTAGAACGTGGAAATATACTCCCACGTAAATCTGATATAAATGTTGGTGACATTCTTATCGGTATTCCATCGTCAGGCATTCATTCCAATGGTTTTTCATTGGTTCGTAAAATTATTGATAAATATAACCTTGGATATGAATCTCTTTGTCCATGGAACTCAAAACTTACGCTTGGTGAAGATTTACTTACACCAACAAAAATTTACGTCAAGCAATTGTTACCATTGATTAAGAAAGGTCTTGTCAAGGCAATGGCACATATAACAGGTGGAGGTTTTGTGGATAATATACCAAGAGTCCTTCCTGAACATCTTGGTGCTACTATAGATTCAACTTCATGGAAAATACCAGAAGTATTCAAATGGTTAGCGAAAAATGGAAATATACCTCCCGGTATGTATATTTGGGTTTTCAAACATCGCGTATTTGATTATGTATGCAAAAGTTTTTAAACAATTGTTTTAACATGATCATAAATAGATGAGTTATTCCGAACATTTAATTGTGGAATAGGAATGGTCTTAATTGTATCTCCTAATGATAAAATTAATGCTATAAATTTACTCAAACAATGTGATACCAATATTTACGAAATTGGTCATGTGGTGACAAAAGAGATGAATAATGGAAAACAAGTTGTTATTAATAGAGTTACAGAATTATTTTGATTGTCTATAAATATATGTACATACTTGATATTTCATGAATATTTAGTTTTACTAAATATGTTATAATTCATCTAAACAAATATATAGTTAAAAATTTTGGTCAAAAGTAAAGGTTGTTTTATTAACCAAGTATTATATCAAAAAATTTTCTTTACACTGGTTGGTCTAATTTTTCTATGGTATAGGGTTTAGTTTACTCTAGAGCTATTACTTGAGTTTAAAATAGTATTACAAATCGAAAGCTAAAAAATTCGATTACTGTGGTTTAGTTGTTAACTAATAGATTAACCTTTTTTAAACACCGACTAATCGATTACGTAGAAGGTTTTAAAACGGAGCAACCAAAATTTAGGGTCGGAATAGGCCGGAGTTGATAAATTTATCTCCCAATCACCCAAAATTTTACTAATGAAAAGCTGCCCAGATGATAGTTTTGCTGTAATATAGTTGGTTTGTATTATTACTTAATGCCGGCCTAGCTCCGGGTCTATCCTGACCCTAAATTTGGTCGGTCTGCTGAATTTGGGTTGCTCCACTAATCTATCCTTTAAAATTGGCTATTAAGTTACACGAGCCAATCGGGCAAACTCTTGTGAGGTGATAACGATAATTCAGAATCTCACAAGAGCGACGTTTTTTTTCGTCGCCATAGATATTATTAATTTCTCAATATGAAGAAATGTAATGAATTCTTCGAAGAAGCAGACGACCTCGAAGGAGAATTAGACGAGCTCGAAGAAGAATCAGATGACCTCGAAGAATCAGACGACCTCGAAGAAGAATCAGACGACCTCGAAGAAGAATCAGACGACCTCGAAGAAGTAGACGAGGAAGCTGAGGCTCTTGTGGTTGAAGACGAACAAATTGAAAACGCCAAAGCAGAAAATTTGCTTTCTTTTATTAGCTCATTGGATAAAAAAAGAAAACGAACCGATAATGACAATCCTATAGAAAAAAGTAAAAAGCAAATCAAAGAACGTACAGAAGCTTACGAAGAATCAGAATATAATCTAGCAACCAGAGAGTCTTCAACAGGAAAAAAGAAAGTTAATTTTCATGATCTAATAGGCACAATTCAAGAGGAAGCAGGATTTAGTGGATTAAAACAAAAATTAGCATCGCTTGAAAGTGGTGGTAATAAAGGAACTTATAAAGAACCTTTACCAGCTCCTCTACCTCAACGTATTCAGGATAAGTTGAATAGACAAGTTGCTTATGAAGAAACTAAGAAAGATATTAGTAAATGGGAACAAACTGTTCGGCAAAATCGTGAAGCTGATCATTTGAAATTCCCAATGAATCCAATTCCTCAACATACACCAACAGTTAATCTTTTAGCAGGCACATTCAAAGTATAACATACGATATATAATTTTTTGTTGTTTTTTTGCTTTAATAAGGTAACTTTTATATACTAAGTGATAAATATTTTTAATTTTTGAGCCTTCAACAACACTTGAGAAAGAAGTTGATTCTATATTGGTAAAAAGTGGGATGAAAGAAGAGGATATTCAAAAATATGAAGATATTCAACTAAACAAATTATCTACTGAAGAAGTTGCAGCACGACGTAGAGAACTTCGTCGTATGCGTGAATTAATGTTTCGTGAGGAAATTAAAGCTAAAAGAATCGCAAAGATAAAAAGTAAAACTTATCGAAAAATCAAAAAAAAAGAGAAAGAAAAGGAAAAATTAAAACTTGATCAATTAACCGAATCAGAACAAGACTTGGCTCAAGAAGAACGAATGAAATTAGAAGCAGCTCGAGCGAAAGAGCGTATGACTTTAAAGCACAAAAATACTAGCAAATGGGCCAAACAAGCACTTAAACATGGCCGACATGATGTGGAGAGCCGGCAAGCAATTCTTGAGCAATTACAGAGACATGATGATTTGAAACGTAAAATTCATGACCTTGGTTCTGATGAAGAATTAGATGATGTATCGAGTGAATCTAATAATGAAGAAGATGAAAACGTTATAAAAGAAAAGGCATTTGACGAGTTGGCACAATATCAGCTTAAAGAATCGAACGAAGAAGAATCTGTGAAGGGTATAATGGGCATGAAATTCATGCAAGACGCTATGAATCGAGAGCGAAAAGCGACACAGCAGTTAATAGACGACTTTATAGAAGACTTGGAAAATAATGGTTTTAGCGATGAAGAAGAAGAAAATAAACAGACTAAAAAAAATAATGAGAAGGTAAAGGATCCGATGAAGCATATAGACAACAATCTTGGAAGAATGATATTTGGTGTTGAAAATAAGGTAAATGAGAAGTGCATTTTAATAAACCGTTGCAATATGATGTTATTTAAAAATAATTTATATTAATTCAATAGGAAAAAAGAGCGTATTCCAATGACTCACCTGATGTCAGAGTGTCCTTTAATCAAGGGCCAGATATCACAACGGTATTTAACAATTTGTTACATGAACGAATTTTACTGAAATATAATTTGCAACTAAAGATATATGTATTTAGTTACCAAAATCTACTTTTGAACAAAAAAACGATTCTGAGGTGACATTCCTTTTAGATGATAATTTATCGAATCATCAAGTTGAATCACAGCAAAACGATTCCGAGGAAATAAACCCTTGGCTTCAACATGACACCTCTAAACTAGCGACCTCTAGTAAAAATATTAATAAAACTATAAAAAATAATAATAAACTCGATAAATTGGCATCAAAACTCAAGAAACAAAAAAACAAGATGCATAC